ATAAGAACAATTACATTTCTCCAATTTATCTCTTATGCATTATATAGTATTGCAGTATATAATAACACAGTTAAGTAGATAATTAGAAGGGGTATGTTTGCATGAGTTTTCTGAGTGAGCTCTCCTTAGAATCAAGAGGAAAGTAAATTGGATGAACAAGATCCTACTAACAGGGGCATGACTAATGTCAGCAAATAACAATAGTAGCTACAACTTACTCTGTACTTACTATGTGCCATATAATCCTCACAATGACTCCACAGGGTAGATATTTTCACCCCTTCATATATAGATGAAGACATAAGACAGAGCTTGGAATTAATTATGTTTTCTTTGGCTATATGCCATACTACCTCAGAAACGGTATGCAGTTTAAAAGATTATCCTAGTCACCTCAAAACCCCTTCAGTAGAAGGACTGACTGGCAAATAGGTAAGGAAAAGAACATTTCAACAACATGGAAGGTTTTTAGATTAGATTACACCAGAAGTTCTTAGTTATAGCTGCACATTAGAATACTCTGGGGAGATTCCAAAAAAAAAAAAAAATACCCAGACCCTATCACAAAGCAAGTAAATTAGAATCTTTTCATTAGAACCCAGAAGAGATTTTAAAAAAGCAAACCCTTTAGATGTTTCCTGGGTACAGCCAGGGTAGAGAACTACATTGCATCTGTAGAGAGATATGTGGGAATAGCCATGGTCCATGTGTGAATTGTTCTCACATCAACCTAGAGAATCACAGTGCTAATGTGGTTTGTGTGTGCAACAGATGTGTGTAGATTGATTGATTGAAACCTGGAAAGAGCTTTGAGATCTGGAACATTAAGATAATGTGCATTGAAAAGTTCACATACTATCCAGATATATTGTATAAATGTACATCTTTCATCATAAGTAGAAGGTACTTAAAAGTGTGCCTTAATAAAAATATATCTACATTTTACTTATGACATCATGAACACCTTGCACAATCCAAAGTGTTCCAAAGGGATGGAGTAAAGCCATTAACTTGGCACAGTGCATGGTAGCTATACTTGCTATGTTTTCTTCCCTTCCCTGTCTTGTCTTCTCATCCTTTCCCTTTCCGTTTTATCTCTTCCTTTCCCTACTCAACAAAGTTGAGAAATACAAATAGAGATGAAAGTGTTAATTTTATAGATTACAAAATGAGTCAGTGGGTTTTTGTGCACCTCTCCCCTCCTTCAATTCATAAAATTATAGAACAAAGAGTTGGTTATAGAGATTGGTCCACCAATTCTTAACAAAAACAAAGACAAGGAACCAGAGGTTAAATGTACCATTGTCTTGAATGTTTCCTCTTTCCAAAAAGAAATTTGAAGCTGCACTAGAACATTGCAGAAAATTAATGACATATAAAAATAAAGGTAAAGATTTTGGAAAAGAGGATGCAGCATTATGATAACCATAGGAGCTTCGCATACTTTTGTGAATGAGCAAGAAATTTACTGTGGACTTCCCGATAAGAGAAGAAAGTTTACATAATATAGTTAGCAAAAAGAGGAAATGTATAGTGATTACTTAGGGATGACAAGAAACTTCCGCCTTGAGACCTCATAGGGGACATTGTGTGTCAGGACAGAGGCAACTTCCTTGACTACTGTTTCATAACAAATACCAAGTAGTTTCAGTATTTCTGTTTCTTGTAGTTGAAGACATAATGTTAAAGCCGAACTCAATAAGGTCCATCTTCTGAGGAGATGTTGGATTTAAGCTAATCTTTATCTATGCTTTCTTTGTTTATTTTTATTATTTTCTCCTTGCTTTTCATTAGAGATTTCTTTAAGTAAAAGTATAGATGAATGAGTTCTGCTTTTAACCTACTACATAATTTTGCTTTTCCTTAGTTAACTATTTACTAATAGAGACATTTATAACTTATATTTAGTTGCTTGGGATCCTTGGAAGACCTGAGATCTGTCCTGTCTTGTTTTGGCTTTCCCTTTGCCTGAAAGTGAAATTTGTTGATCGGGAAGAGGCTGACAGACAGTTATCTCTCTGGAAGGTAGCCAGACCAGGGCTCTCGTGTGTTGATGTTATTGGCAATGGGCAAGGAACCCCTTTCCCCTGATGACTATGCAGCTGCGAAAGTAATGGTGGGATTTAGTGCAATTTAGAATATTATGGTGGCAGGCATGAGTATGGATAGAAAATCAAGAGGTGCTCTGCTTCTTCCAATGAAATAAGCTAGCAGAGACCCACCTTCCCAAAAGGCTCTGAATTCCACATTTGGCAAATTGGTTTTTTTTTGTTATTGTCGTTTTTTAATCTTAGCATCTTCTACGGGTGTTGTCTGGTCCTCAGGAGTAATGGTGAGCTGAATCCGAACTGAATGCACAAGTCAATTTTTGCCATGTTTGTGTGAACTTGAATTTCAGTTATCTTTTTTTATTTTTATTTGGCAGCAAATATTAAGGCTTAAAGACATGCTGCCACTCATTTCTGGAAAGCATCAAATATTTGGTTTTTATCTGCATTCAGACAGAATCAGTTCCGAGTTGTTTCTGTAGATATTAAACATAAATATTTAGATAAAACAAGTTTATAAATTATGTAATTTACTTAATCATCTGTGGAATTATGATTTTTTTCCTATGGTAGATTGAAAAATTTATTGAACATGCACTTTGTAAAAGGCATTATAGTAGGTAATAAGTGCAGAGTAGGTGGATACATTATCTATAATAGACATGGGGATAGCCCACTGTAAACTTTCAGTCTTGTTGAGAATAGAAAATATTAAATTAAATTATTTTAAAGTAGGATGTTTTTAAGAGACAATTATTTATTGTAGTGAAAGTTGAACATGCATATGTTTGGGGCACCATAGAAAGGAGAGTGTAATGAAGTTAGAAATTGGTTCGAATACACATATTTGAAACCAAGTATTAAAAAAGATATGTATTAGTAGAGATGACTAAATCAGAAAAGAGGAAGATTAAGATCATACTTTGAAAGTAATCTTTTGTTTTGGGGAAACTTCTTGAGATGGAGAACTTGTCTGATAATAATTTTTATTACAGTATTAAAATGTAATCAATAAGTTGCTTTTAACATATGAGTGAGGCTCTGTGAATGACTCATTTATTGCAAATGTTTGAAACAATATTGCAGCATGACAGAATAATTATTAATTTTATTGTTTTTGATGTATTTTTTTTTTATCCTCACCTGAGGACATTTTTCCACTTTTTGTTCAGATAGAGTAGGAAGGAGAGAGAGAGAAACATCGAAGTGAAAGGGACACATCGAGTGGCTGCCACCCCCACAACCCAACCAGGGCCGGGGACAAACTGCAACCGAGGTACATGCCCTTAGCAGGAACCGAACCCTGGTCTCTCTGGACCGCAGGCCGATGCTCTAACTGCTGAGCCAAACTGGCCAGGGTTTGATATATTTTAATAGTGTAATATATATAGTGTAATTATGTATACATATATATATAATTTTGTGCATGACCCTAGGAAGTTCCTCGATGTTCGGATAATACACTTGTTATAATCTGTTGGTGTAAACTTGAATTTCAGTTGTTTTTCATCTATTATCTATCATCCTCAGTAGTGTGACTGCTCTTCATTTTTTTTTAAAAAAAGCATTATACTTTAATATTTCAAGGTTTTTATTTAGAAAGGTATTTTTATTTGCTTCTATTTAAAAAGTAAAATTTTCCAAGCAACATATTTAAGATCTCTCTTCTGATGTTTTAAATTCAAAAATAAGTTTTGAGATTATTTTGGGTTGTTTTTTGCAACATTATTATATTTATCCCAAAATTCTTGTTTTTTTGTTTTTCTTTTTTTTTCTAAAGGGTTATTTGGAACCTATACTTAAACAACCTGAAAAATGGGTCTTCTCTAACTTATACACACAAAAGAGCTCTTAATACTATAAGCATACTTCATTTAGACATACTCCATTGGGACAACTAATTAGTCAGATGGAAAAGATTATTTTATGGTTCTTCCTCTTTTTTTTTCTTTTTTTTTTTTTTTTAATCCTCACCCGAGGACATTTTTCCATTTTTTGTTCAGATAGAGTGGGAGGGAGAGAGAGGAACAGAGAGAGAGAAACATCGATTTGAAGGGACACATCGAGTGGTCGCCACCCGCACAACCGACCAGGGCCGGGGACAAACTGCAACCGAGGTACGTGCCCTTAGCGGGAACCGAACCCGGGTCTCTCAGGACCGCAGGCCGACGCTCTAACCGCTGAGCCAAACCGGCCAGGGCTGGTTCTTCCTCTTTTTAAGTCATATTGCTCCTCTGAAAAATCCATTGTCATCCATCTACCCATCCATCTATCCATCCAACCACCCATTCTTTTATTTGTTCATCTCCATTTATTATTTAATTTGTTCATCAACTATATATTAAATATACACAACATTCAAGAGAGTGAATTGGTGTCAGGGTGGATGAGAAGGTGCTACAAAATTGCCTATGTCATGGGGCTTATGATTCTGGGAGACAAAAGTAAAAAATATTAATTTTCATAAGTAATATGGTTGAGTAACATGGTTTAGGAATTTGCAGAAAACAAAGAAAATTTGCAGCTCGTAGGGAGGTGGGTTAAGTGCTTCAGAAATACTTTTTTAGTTAAGCTGACCTACTCAGTCCTTGCTGTCTTATTTTGCTTGTTTTTTGTTTTTTGATGAAGGAACATGTTTTACTCCTTTATTTAATAAAATAAATATCTTTGAAGACAGCTTTTCTCTACTCAAAATGCCTAGACTATGCTTAGATTTTTAAGACATTTCGCATTGTCAGTACTTTCATTTTTTGTAGTTAAAATGCAGACATTATTAAATACTCACTAAAATGACAAAAAAAATATGAAGAGCTATTTGCCCTCAAAACTCATGGTCTTGCCTTTTCTTACTGAAGAAACCTTAACTGCAATGTTGCCATATTTTTTGTGAAGTACTTACTGTGATCTTCATTTGCTTTTCTGTACTTTAATATTACAAAACATTGTTTTCAGAGGCAAAATCAGTAAAGGCTTGGAGGATTTAAAACGTGTTGTTCCAACAGGAGAGACATACATCCATGAAGGACTAAAGCTAGTAAGTTCTTTGACATTTATGCATATGGGAGAGAATGTTTTCTTATGCTGTAATGAAATAATTTATGACTCTAGTAAAATTGAAAGACCTCATTACATATTTATCTCAGAAAATATTTTAAATTCTTTTAGTTGTTCTAGGGATGACACTGATAGAAAACATTATTTATCATGGTAATAAGAAAAGTTCAGATGGCACGTTGCCTTTTAAGAAATTTTCTGTTTTCTCAATGGTTATATTCAGACTAGTCAACCAAAGCTAAAAATCTGTGTCATTTAAACCCAACAGTAACTACTCTATAATGTAAATATATATATATATATGTATGTATTTCTCATATAAGAGTTAATACAAATATTGTGTTTTAAAAGCTAGTCCATAATTTTTTTTTCTTTATTGATTTTAAAGAGAGAGGAAGGCAGAGGGAGAGAAAGATAGAAACATCGATGAGAGAGAACATCGATTGGCCGCCTCCTGCATGCCCCCCACTGGGGATCAGGCCCACAACCGGGGCATGTGCCCTGACTGGGAATTGAACTGGCGACCTCTTGGTGCATGGGTCATGCTCAACCACTGAGCTACACTACTCGGGCAGTTCATAATATTTTTATTTTGTCACACATACAAATTCAGCTTAATAGAGAATGCTAGTTTAAAGTTAAGATTAAATTGTGACTTAGATAATTATTCCTTATTTCTAGGCAAATGAACAAATTGAGAAAGCAGGAGGCTCAAAAACCTCCAGTATCGTCATCGCTCTGACAGATGGTAAGTTGGACGGTCTGGTGCCATCATATGCAGAGAAAGAGGTGAGTGTTGAACTGGAACTGCTCTTTCCAGCCCAGTGTATTATGCTGTGTGACTCTGCAGGTATAGCCCCATATTGGGGAAATTCACCTCTCTCTCTACCTCTGTCTCTATTCCTCTCCATAGGCAGACTTATCCAGGTCATTTGGGGCCAGAGTTTATTGTGTTGGTGTCCTTGATTTTGAACAAGCTCAGGTGCGTACAGCAGATCCGCAAACGTCAATCTAAGTCATATAGTCGTCTGAAGGATAGTTTATCAGATTCTTTTCACTGATGACTTACTCTGACATTGATCAGCCATTAAAGATCTTCTTTTAAAATGGCCATATTCTTGTATGTCGTGATTTGTAATGTCCGATTTTGACAGGTTTCATTTTTGAAAACAAAACTCTAAATTTATTGACCATTTGTTTGGTTTGGAGGAAGAACTAATATAGGACAAACAGAATATGGGTTAAAATGATATTAGTACTCCTGTTCTTTAATTCAACTGACAAGATTTTTATGACAGTCTTATTTAGGTGTTTTTTTTTAGTTTGATTTAAACCTAGACCCTTAGGAGTGCAGGAATTTAGGAAGTTCACTTATGAGAAATGTTTAGTAATTTTCTTAAAAATTTTTTCATGACATTTTAAGGATTTATATATTAAAAAAATTTTTTGGCACTCAAAGTGATTTTGCATTTCAATTTTGGGTTGAGCATGACTAAGACTCCTGAGTCTCATGACATTTACAGCCAGTAGAGTGCTATACTGTTTTGAAATGGAAACTTGAGGCCAGTGTACAGGGGCTGTGGCTGATGTCAGTCCATTTCACTGGGATGCATTTACAGTATCACTAGTACCATCACCTTCAGTTTCTGACAGGCTGCACTAGTGGATTCATCCTGTGGTGTAATTTTTCAGAAGAACATAATTAAAACATAATGAAGTTTATAAAGTGTTATATGTCTCAACCACCTCTTAATTAAATCTTCCTCCTCTTTCTAAAGCTCGAAAGAATTGCTGATTCCAAGGAACAAGTTTTTCCTGTCAAAGGTGGATTTCAGGCTCTTAAAGGAATAATTAATTCTGTGAGTATTTCTCTGGGGGCAGGAAAGGCTCATAATTTTAGATATCTTTTAAACTGCAAGAAGTAATCTTGAAATCCAGTACAGGTGGTCATTATCTTGAAGAAAGAGTCTAAGAAGGAAGTTTGTTCGGTGTTGCAAGCAGTGTAATTTGTCAGATTTGGTATTAATTCTTGCAAATTGAACTCTGTGAGACTGGGTGTGTGATTTCAAGTTTAAGATTTTCATAAACAATTTTAGACACTTCTACCCTTTGGGGATGGAGTTCCTCAGCATCTTGATAGCTGGAGAGTTTTATAGGCTTTATAGAAGCGATGTAAAATAAAAATTTGGATTGGAATGTGTGATTACTCTCTTTCCAATATGGTGTTTCCTAGCTATCAGTCAGGCAACTGGAACCACCGGCCGCGTATTTGACTGCTCTCGTTGTTCTTTCCATTTTAATGATGAATAGTTTCACTGGAGCTCATAGCATTTCTGTTTCAAATTCAGCAGAGCTGTCTCTGGTGATCATTAGAATCTGGGCTGTCCTAAACATGGCATGGGGAAGTGGGGTGATGAAATGCAAAGCAAAACTCCTGGGCTTTCACAGCTGAGGTTTATGTTTCATTTTACTGCCTTTTACTAGAAGCACTAGGAACAGTTGCTATTAAGTATTTATGACATTTTGGTAAACATCATCCTAAAATGGAAGTGAATAATGTAATATTCTCTAAGTCAAAGCTTTTCCTTTAATCTTTAGGTATTTATTGAAGGAGGGAAAAATCACAGTTTCTTCTGACATTTGGCTGTGGCATTTAAAATTTCTCTTTCAAGATCATGTTTTTCAAAAACACAGAGTGAGATTTATTGAATTTGGTTTTAATATCATGTAGGCCTTTTTTTTTTTTTCCTTTTCTAATTAATGGAGCTTTTCAGAAGAGACATGCAGTTTGGCTCTATCACAGATTTAGTACCTCTAGTGGACAGGCCAAATGGAAATTCAGAGTGGAATAGAGATTTAAATATTTTAGGAGTTAACATATATTATTGTGTTTGGTTTTTATTAAAAAATTTCAGTATTTTTATTTGAAGCAAATACTCTATAACTGATTTCTTTTAAAATATAGGAATATTGTATGAACATTACAAAATGGAGGAAAATTTTACCCTATAAATAAACAAATCAATGGACTGTATTTTAAATAGAATTTTATTGTGCTTGAGAATTTGCAATTATTTTACTAATTGTACCGGTAGAGAGCAAAGATGTTACTGAGTTAATCTCATTGGAATATTTTTTCTGTATATAAAAAATTTAATTCAAAATTATCCAAGTGACTAATTGCCTTTTCAAAACTCTTTTTATGGGTTATGACTACAGATTTCTCCTACAAGAAATTAGTAGTCAGCTATCAGATGAGATGATGTTGTTGTTATGCTTTGTTATATTTATTTGTTAAATTTTATTTTTTTAAATTTGTATTACGAAAAATTTAGAATTGCATTTTTAACTACAGTCATTCTTTTCTGAAGTTTGTGATGAACTTTAGCTTGAATAAGTTATATTGAAAGACTTAGTATATGTTGGGGCAGATGTGGAGATAAAGGAACCCTCACACACCGCTACTGGGGATGTAAACTGGTACAGCCACTAGGGATAACAGTGTGGAGGTTCCTCAGTTAAGAATAGATCCTCCATCTGACCCAGCAATCCCTCTTGTGGTATCTGTCCCCAAAATTTGAAAACATTTCCTCATAAAGATATATGTACCCCTATGTTAACTGTAGCATTATTCATGGTGGCTAAGACATGGAGACAACCTAAGTGTCCTTCGATGAGTGATTGGACACTCAGCCATAAGGAAGAAGGAAATACTGCCATTTGAAACAACATCGCTGGATCTTAAGAGTACCATTCTAAATGAAATAAGTCAGAATGAAAAGGACAACAACCATATGATTTCACTCATGTGGGATATTAAACCGAAAGCAACAAATGAACAAACAAAACACACTCATAGACACAGACAACACTATGGTGGTTACCAGAGGAAAATGTATGGGAGGAGGATAAAGAGGGTAAAGGGGGCCAAATATATGGTAATGGAAGAAGACTAGATTTTAGGTTGTAAGTATACAATTCAGTATACATATTATGTATTATAGAACTGTACACTTGAAACTTACATATTAATCCACCTCACCATGACACATTTAATTTAATTTTTAAAAAGCGTAATAATAGAAAGATTTGTGTTATTTTAGCTATAAATTGCTAACATAACCTTTTCAGTTTCATCTGGAGGGGGCTGATGATTGTAGCATTCATCGCAAACAGTCAGACTTCAGCTATTTTGTCACAAAAGGAGGAGTAAATTATCCTCAGGGAAGCCAGCCTTTGGGGAAACCTGGCTGAGTTGGCAGGTAGACAAAAGGACCCTTTACAATCAAAGCTGATCTCACTGATGGCTGAGATTTTTATCAACATGATGATAGTATTTTTGCCTACTTTATAGAAATTTAAGGCATTTCAAGCACTTTATCTCCCTTCAAGGCTCCACCCAATAATAAATAAAAACTATAATTCTGCCTCAAAGGTGAATTGTACTTTATAATTTGCAAAGTACCACCTTATCTTAAAAATTTATATTTGGCATTTAAAACAAATAAAGTATATCTATTTAAAGGTAAGAGCAGAGAGAAGAATATCTCTTTATTTTTTTATGATTTACCAAAGTAATGGATAAAATTGTACTTGGAATGTATTTACACAAAGCCAAGCAAATGGAAGAAATCTGAAAATGAGTATTTCAGATTCTTGGTACTATGAAGGCAAATTATTTGTTAAATTGATCATATTTTTCTGCTAGAAGTTATTTAAATACATCTGGCCTTGTTAATTATCAGTACATTATTTAAAGTTAATATTTAATTGAAAAGAAGTAATAACATGATTTTCCTGTGGTGATTTTTTTTTTGTTTTCTTTTGTTTTGTTTTTGTCCTCCCTCTTCTGCCTACCAAAATCCAGCAACCTAAATGGTCTGATTCCCTCACGTATAAGCTGTCACATTTTGTAAAGACATAGTTTGTCTAGAATCAGCTTCTGTTTTTTTGTTAATTTTTTATTTATTTTTTTGTTACAGATGTTTCTCCTTTTTTACCCATTGGCAACCCCCTCCCACTCCATCCCTGCCCCATCCCTGGCTTTGTTGTCCATGTCCATTGGTCATGCATACATGCATATAAGTTCTGTGGTTTAGCTCCTCCCACCCTCCACCCCCTCATCTGAGGGATGCCAGTCTGTGCCCTACTTCCATGTTTCTGGGACTAACGTATTCCTCAGACTGTTATGTTCATTATATTCTGTATATAAGTGAGATCATGTGGTATTTGTCTTTTTCTGCTTGGCTTATTTCACTTAGGATAATACTTTCCAGGTCCCTCCATGTCGTCTCAAAGGATAAGAGATCTTTCTTATAGCTGCATAGTACTCCATTGTGTATATGTACCACAGCTTTTTTATCCATTTGTCTACTGATGGACACTTGGGCTGTTTCCAGATCTTAGCTATTGTAAATAGTGCTGCTATGAACATGGGGTTACATATATTCTTCCTGACTGGTGTTTCAGGTTTCTTAGGGTATATTCCTAGAAGTGGGATCACTGGGTCAAATGGAAGTTCAATTTTTAATTTTTTGAGGTAACACCATATTGTTTTCCATAGTGGCTGCACCAGTCTGCATTCCCACCAGCAGAGAATTAGAGTTCCCTTTTCTCCACCCCCTCGCCAACACTTGTTGTTTGATGATTTGTAGATGGCTGCCATTCTGACAGGTGTGAGGTGATACCTCATTGTTGTTTTAATTTGCATCTCTCTGATGATTAGTGATGTTGAACATTTCTTCATATGTCTCTTGGCCATTTGTGTGTCCTGTTTGGAGAGGTGTCTATTCAGCTCCTCTGCCCATTTTTTAATTGGGTTCTTTGTTTTCCTTTTGTTGAGTTGTATGAGCACTCTCTATATATTGGAAATTAAAACCTTATCTGATATATCATTGGCAATGATGTTCTCTCATACAGTGGGTTGCCTTTCCATTTTGATGGTTGTTTCTTTTGCTGTGCAGAAGCTTTTGAGTTTGATGTAGTCCCATGTGTTCATTTTTTCCTTTGTTTCTGTTACCTTAGGTGATGTATCAGTGAAAATTCTGCTCTGTATGATGTCCGAAATTTTGTTGCCTACATTTTCTTCTAGAATTTTTATGGATTCACTGGTCACATTTAAGTCTCTTATCCAAAAATATGAAACACTTCACGAATTTGTGTGTCATCCTTGCGCAGGGGCCATGCTAATCTTCTCTGTATTGTTCCAATTTTAGTATATGTGCTGCCGAAGCGAGCACTAGAATCAGCTTCTTAATCAGCAAGAATAGGAGTTTCATTTTGGAGCCTTTAGTTATTGTGGCTAGAAAACAACACTATAGTAGTTCAGTCTGTTATAACTTCAAAAGTAAGAGACTGAAAAAGGCCTTTTTAATGAACATTTTACATGTTAACAATGTAATACCTTTTGTCAAATTTTCTTGATTCAAAAAATTATTCTAATGGTCTATTTTAATTTGGAGGGAACTATATCATTTCAAAATTTTTAGATTTCTATCCAGGGAAACATGATATGTAGCAATTTTTCGAAAATTGGTTTAATCTCCAATGTTAGCACATATAAAGGTTAAAATTCATTATTACCCCAAGTAGATACTGATAAAAAAAAACTTTTCCTCTTTTTTCACCTTCTTTTCCAATTGTCTAATTCATTATTTATTTTTTCATTTATTGAGCTTTTATTATGCCCAGGGCATCATTTTAGGTTTGGAAGAACAGACACAAACTTAAATAAGACAAATTATCTTCTCTGAGGGGGCTTGAAAATAATGATGATTTAAGGTTTGGAATATGGTGGTCCCATGCAAGAATTATGGTGTGGGGATTTGGAGGGGGGCAATTTCAGTGAGTCACCCTATGT